AGAAGAGGGGACACATGTTGATGTAGAAGAGACATGGAGAAGAGGGGACACATGTTGATGTAGAAGAGACATGAAGAAGAGGGGACACATGTTGATGTAGAAGAGACATGGAGAAGAGGGGACACATGTTGATGTAGAAGAGACATGGAGAAGAGGGGACACATGTTGATGTAGAAGAGACATGGAGAAGAGGGGACACATGTTGATGTAGAAGAGACATGAAGAAGAGGATTTTGCATAATATATTGGCAAGAAAATCTTCAAGAGATTGTACAGAGCAATCAGAGAGAATCCAGTCTTTGTCAAGTCTGTCACCACCTTCACGCAGCTGCTCGCGCCACTTCGTCCGGTCCTCTGCCAGCCTCTCCCAGTTGTCCGTCGCAATGTCCAGGGCCTTCATGTCAAGCTTTACGACATTCTTGAAGCGCAGCAGTGGTCGTCCTCTGCCTCTGGAACCAGCGCTCAGCTCGCTGTATAAGATGTCCTTTGGCAGGCGGCCATCTGGCATTCTGCGAAGCTGACCGAGCCACCGCAGCCTCCTGACCTTCAGTGTTTGGAACATTGACTTGCTGCCCGTACGCGCCAGCACCGCCTCGTTCGTGACCTTGTCCCGCCATGTGATCCCGAGGATGTTGCGCAGGCACCGCATGTGAAAAGCATTTAGCTCTCTTTCGTGCCGCGCGTAAGTTGACCACGCCTCGGAACCATACAGCAGGACGCTGACCACGCAACATTGGTTGATGCGTGTCTTAGTGCGCTCGGTGAGGTATTTATTGCTCCACGCTCTTGAGCGCAAACGACTGAAAGACGTTGCGGCTTTGCCGATACGAGTCTGGATCTCCTTAACTAGCGACAGGTCACTGCTGATTGTTGAGGCAAGATACGTGAACCGGTCAACAGTCTCCAGCACATGCTCATTCAATGTTAAAAATGCCAGAAAACAATATTTCTGTTCATTAAAAACTGTATAAAATAAAGAAATATTTAGATTTGTTTTGACTTTTCTAGATTTAGCTTTTTATTAGATTTAGATTTTTGGGGGATTTAAATGTTCTTTTTAAATTACATTTAATTTGTATTAAAATACTTTTTGGGGATTTAAATTCAACATTTTCAATTTATAAATATTATTTTCTTTATATATTTTTTTCTTTATATATTTTTTACTCCAGAACAATGAGCATCAAACAGAGCGTCAGACGGCAGAGACAGCTTTGTTTTTACGGATCATTATTATGGGATGGATGTCCGGAGGCAGGCTGACACTGAAACTGAGATTTATCCGTTTCTTAGAGGAAGGAAAGAAACCGTAACTCTGGATGTATTTGTTGTTCGAGGTCGCTATATGACTCAGCAGCTTTAAGACATTCAAATGTTTTTCTTCTTATGTATATATTCATATTTGTATTTCATTCTTTGACGGAGCACATTCAGATGGTGATGACTGTGCGTATTCTAATGTAATATGTGCACTGGTTGTCTTGACTAAGATTTAGAGAGTTTCCTCACCTTGTTGTACTCCACGTGCAGCTTCTCCTGCTCGCTCTCCAGCTTGTCTTTCAGGCTCTTCTGCTCCGAGATGTTGTCCTGGATCTGGATCATGCGCATGTTCCGCTCTGAATATCAATGGGACAAAAATCAATAGCACGATCACAATCAGCATACAGGAAAACGCTCATGAGAGAGTGTACTGATCGCAGATAGGCTAACGGAGGAGGATCTCAAGGGCAGCGCCACGGCGTCATCACAGCCACTTATCGGGGGAGAAAACGACTTTATACGACATACACACAATGACTAAAACACTCAGTAAAGAGTTAAAGATATTCAGTGCAGAGATAACACTAAAAACCGTTGGTTACATTTACAATACCAGACCATATTCGTTCACTTTGGCAGGAAAACGGTTATTTTTATAAAACGTGAATCAGATAAATAGTACCTGGAAATACTAGCTCACTGTTTTGTCGAACATTATCTCACTCCCAAAGTGTTTCTCGTATGAAGGGGGAATAAGATGCAGGAATAAGTCCTAAACCTGGGAATGATTCAGTATTTCATCACTTCCTGTCCCCTAGTCTGGAGGTCATTGGTTTTCTGAATGTGTTTTTGGTTGTTATCCTGAAATAACACATTTTAACATTTTTTTCTATCACATAAAATACGTCAGTAAATACCTCACTGGTGGATTTAAAAACAGCGGTTATTTAGTTAGTTGACTAAATGTCATCAAGCCCAACATTAGCCACCTTTAGCTTAGCGGTGGTGACGTGAAGTCATGTGACCGTGCTGTAGTTCCTTTATAGCCCAACATTAGCCACCTTTAGCTTAGCGGTGGTGACGTGAAGTCATGTGACCGTGCTGTAGTTCCTTTATAGCCCAACATTAGCCACCTTTAGCTTAGCGGTGGTGACGTGAAGTCATGTGACCGTGCTGTAGTTCCTTTATAGCCCAACATTAGCCTCCTTTAGCTTAGCGGTGGTGACGTGAAGTCATGTGACCGTGCTGTAGTTCCCTAATCTATGTCAGTATCATAGGCGTTTGTTTGACACAGAGGTTATTTTCTGCTATAATAAAAAATCAAAGAGAAATCCCATGCTGCCTTCAGGGTCCAACACAGAAAAACGACCCCCCTGTATCCCCCTGATGTTTCCTCACCCATGTAGTAGTTCACGAAGTCTGCAGTGAGCGCAGGTTGCTTGTGTTTCCTGCGGCCGTCCATGCTAGCGTTAGCATCCGACGTGTCCACGGGGAAGATGTCGGTGCTGATGCCCATAAGCTCCGCCTTCCTCATCAGTTTCCTGATGGCCGAGGCACTGGAGGTCAAAGGTCGCGGCAGCTTCTCTCGAGGAACCCAGGCCTGAGGACGGGTGTTTCTGGAGAGTTCTGCTTTGGCCCGATACTGCTGGAGGCGAGTGGTGATCCGGGCCTGGAAGACAGTTTTATAATATAATAAAATACAGTGCTTAGTGTAACTGACTCAGGGACAGTTTCATCCCTCAGGCCATAAGACTGCTAAACACCTGAGCTCTGTAAAGTGCCCCCATAAACATT